CCTCCCCTCCCCACAGGCAGCACCCTGACTCTTATATGTTCTAGTCCAAATTCTTGTTGGAGAAAAAAAAAAGAATCTGACTAGGTCTGAGTCAGTTTTAAAACTTAACTGAGCATCAAAATGTCCTGTTGATTTTAAGCCACCAATTCAGGCCGTCCCAGGATTGTTATTTAGTATTCTTGGGTAAGGCCTGAAAATTTGCATTTTTGACATAATCCCAGCTAATGTTGAATACAATGCTCTGGGAACCACCCTTGTAAACCACTGGCCTGGTTAATCATCTTTTTATCTGTTTAGACAGACAACTAGGGCAAGCTACCTCATGTTAGTTACCAATGCCATTCATCTGAGCTCTCAGGCTCACGGCTGGAGATTTTCAACCCCCCCTTTAATCTATTCTGTGTATTTATTACTAAAAATTAAGATCGCCTTAATTACAAATTTCTTGTGAGCTACAAAATGCAAAGATCTACTCCAATTACTGCCTTCTAACCAGACAAGCCCAGATTTTAGTTACATTCTTTCAAGTTACTGCATGTAATCTCAAATTCAAGGCTTCTAAAGCTCTCACAATACCTATTCTAGCATTCTCAGAAGGATTACACCCACGATGCAGGCAGAAATGGCCCACTATTTTCCTGGTACTCATCTCCACCAAGACTTCTTTTTTGTTTGTTTGGGTCTGTCTGTTTGTTTTTGGAGACATGGTTTCTCTGCTAGTTCTGGGGCTGTTACACAGAGAAACCCAGAACTAGCTCTGTAGACCAGGCCGGCTTTGAACTCAGAGAGATCCACCAGCCTCTGCCTCCTGAGTGCTGGGATTAAAGGTGCGCGCCGCCGCCGCCGCCACCCAGCCCACTGAGACTTCTTAGTTTTTCTTCTGTCCGAGTAAACATTTTCATCTTTGCTATAGGGTCCCTCTGCATCGGCAGTAATGCCCGGACTCTTGTCTTGGGGAAGGCACATTGAGCCTCCCTGAGATTCCACTTCCTTCTGCTCTCACCCCCATGGCGACGCCCTGGTTGAGTGGAAAACAGCTTCTTTGGTCCTAGGGTAAGGTCAGCTTTCTTACATCCTTTGCTAACATTTCTGGCTTCTGAACTGCCAGACGCCTCTTGTTCTCAGTTTACTGGAGGGGTTTCCGGGGCACACGTGAGTCAAACTTCTCCAATGGCTCCATGGCGATGGGGAGAAGCCTCAAAACGAGCTCCAAATAACAATGCTTAATCCTAGGAAAGACGGAAGTCCAAACTCCACTAGCAGACGCGAAATGAGCCCTTTTTTCTTATATTGGCCTCATCATCTGTGTAGTCCCCAAGCCTTACTGTTTGAGTACATATGTCTCTGACACATCTTTTCTAGTCCTTGGTCACTGACTCTTTGCCCAGAGTCCTCTGACCTCCCCGTACCTGACTATATTGGGGGTGGCTTCCTGTTCTGAATTGCCAGTGTCTCCTCCACTGGCAGCCCTCATGCTTTATGGCTTACGGAATACAAATAAACTTTATTTGACTTTTAGAATATTCATTTTTGATTTATAGTTATGTGTGTTGCCTGAGTGAGTTTATGTATACCTTGAGCTAGAGCCGCAGGTGGCCACCGGATATGACTGGTGGTGCTCCTACCCACTGAGCTCTCTCTTAGTCTTTAAAAGCTGTGTGTATATGTGTGTGACGTGTGGGGGGGGAGGGGCACAAATGCCACAGCTTGTGTGTAGAGGCCAGGGGGCAATCCCGTGGAGTCAGCTCTTCCCTTCGCGTCACTCCAGGAATGAACTCGGTTAGCTAGACTTGCAATGGTAAGCGTCTACACCCGCTGAGCCGCTGCTGTGGAAGAGTAGCTCAACCATTTAAACTAATCATTACTTATGGTGCAGGATAATTGCTAAAGTATGTAAAGATGTCCATGCTGCACTCGTTTAACTCTGTGTTTCTGTTTTCACCTTGCCTGACTAAGGCACCCCGACTGGTTTAGTAAAATGCTGAACAGCCAATGGCTAGGCAGAGGAGGGTTAGGGTCGGCTAGCGGGCAGCAGAGATAAAGGGGAGTCCGGCTAGCCAGCCAGACACAGAGGAAGCAGGGTGGGCAGTATGTAGAGGAAGTAAATGAGCCTCGGGGCGACACATAGATTAATAGAAATGGGTTAATTAAACTTTGAAAAGCTGTCTAGAAACAAGTCTAAGCTAATACTGAACATTCATAATTAATAAATCTGTGTGCCGTGATTTGGTGGTCCAAGAAAGCCTGCTACAGGCCATGTTCCTTAGTAGTTTACTTTTTAAAACAAAGGTTTGTTATTATTATTATTTTTTTTTTGAGACAGAGTGCCCCCTCCCACTTAGATTTCTCTGCCAATGTAGCAAGTCAGACCAAGCTAAATAGTAAAAGTGAAACAACAGGTTCATTTGAGCAAAGCAACTCCCTGGCGGGTTCTCCAGTCCCAGAAATCAAGGCTGGAGAAGCCACACCCACAGATAAAACAGGGAGACTTTTATAGGTTGTAGGCAAGGGGTGATGATGTGTCAGCCATAAGCTGGGTTCGTGCCCAAGTATGGTCAAAGTCTCTCCAGGCAGAGACTTGGGCGGCAGCTTCAGGGGAGGAATTAGGGACTGGGCTTTGTTCAGAGACTGAGTGGGCGGGGTTTAGAGAGAGACAGGAACGGGGCTTCCCAGACCATGCAGGGGTGAGCTGAAGGTTCCAACTGAACAGTCCCTTTCAATTGTCAGCTTAATATACTTTAGGATCATAGAGGGACTGTGGACATTGGTTGCCCAGTGGATACGTCCTTGGAGGATTGTCTCGGTTATTTCGTTTATGTGGGAAGGCCCACCTTTGGGCAGTACCATTCCTAGGCAGTGGGGGGCACCTCAGAACACGTGTGCATGCATTCCCTCCCTATGAAGGGAGCAGGCAAAAGCACCTTGGCCAAAGTGCTGCCATTTTGACTCCAGACTCTATTTTACCTGTACAGTAAAGTAAGTTCAGGTTTCCAAACCTTAGGGGAGCTGAGAACTTTCCAATGGCTGACCAACCTCCTTAAACCACAGAAGTAGTCATTATGCATTTTTACTTCTCTGGAAATAGTATGATTGTTCCTAACAACAGAAGAAACAAATGAATCTGACTGGTTGGACTAAATAAAGGCTTACATTCTATGTCGACAATGATGGAACACACAAGGAAAGTCCCTAATTTCTGATTCCTGATTGGTGAAAATTGTAACTTGGCAACAAATATGATTTTTGTGCTTATAAACGCTGCTTCTGCCCCTGCTCAAGGCTGCCAGGAAAAAGCCTCCTAAGTCCTTGTCCTGCAGCCCGTATTGATCGGTGGGTGACCTGATTATGTGGAGACCATTAAAATCTTGGGAGCCCGTTGTGTTTTCTCTCTTCTTTCTCATAGGGCACAGTGGCCTCCACCTCCTTCCCGAGTGCTAGGATTACAGGCATGTGCCACATTGGCCAGCTTATGAAATGCTGAAAATCAAGTTTAGGGTTTTGAGCATGCCAACCACTCTACCAGAACTATTTTCCCAGCCCCTGTAAGCAGCCTGAGGTATATTCTCTGGTAGATATATATGTGCCTGGTCTTATCTACTTCTTTTCCTAATTTTATTTTTAATGCATTGGTATTTTGCCTGCATGTATATGTGTGTGAGGCCGTCAGATCTTGGAGTTGGGCAGTTGTGATCTGCCATGTGGGTGCTGGGAATTGAACCTGGGTCCTTTGGGAGAACAGCCAGTGCTCCTACCCACTGAGCCATTTCTCTACCCCTAAAGAACAGTTAAGGGAGGGAGGGTCTCATCTCATGTACATGTGGCCCATTTACACAGCCGAGGATGACCTCTCCCCAACCCTCTCTCTTTTCTTCTTTTTTCCTCTCCCCCTTTGGTTTTTTGAGACAGGGTTTCTCTGTGGCTTGTGGATTTGGGAGCTGGCGTGGAACTCAGAGGTCGGACTGCCTCTGCCTCCCGAGTGCTGGGATTAAAGGGTTATATATATAATCACCTGCTTCCTCCAGAGATCATAGACATGCACTACTGCACCCTGTTTATATATTGCTAGGGATGAACCCAGGGCTCCTATGATCTTTTAATTTTTTTTTTTCATTTTTTTGAACAGTATCTCACATTGTGCAGCCTAGGCTGGTCTACAATTTCCTATGTAAATCAGTGTAGCCTAGAGATCCTTTCGCACGCCCCTTCTTCCCAAACGCTGGGACTAAAGGCTGATGCCACTATACCCAGCTATTTTTGTGCTGATGTGTGTTGGACAGACCATAATGTAGGCAAAAACATCGATACACATAGAAATAGTCACATGAACATAACTATGTTGCATTTTCACAACTGTTTTGTTGTACATGGTGGCTGGCAAATGGTTTTGGTAGATGATCTAATAGAGAATTTCAACTCGGTGCTTAGACCAGGGCATCAGTACCTGGGAACTTGGCAGAAACGCGCGCCATTTGTGATCTGGAGAAGCCTTCCAACTCACTGTGATGCAGCTGAAATGTCTTACATATCCAGCACTTAGTCATTCCGCCCTACTGGCGTCGAACCAGGAGAATGCTCTACTGAGTTACATCCCCAGCCTTGCATTTTTAATTTGTTTTCTCATTCAAGTGAGAGGCAGGTTTAAAGTAAAAACAAGACTGTTATGTAAGTGAAAGTCGTTCACTTCTAAAAGAAAACTTTAAACCTCAATGGTGTTTGCTGGGAAATGTAGTTTTTAAGGAGCAAGGAGCACACCACACCCTCAAGTCACCTGTCGCCCCCGCGTGGTAGGTAGTCTACAAACCCTCGCATAGGGACGCCTTCAGAGCGCTGCGTTCCCTTACTTATGTATCAGCCGCCATAATCTTGCCCACCAACTATTAGATCAACACAACGAAAACTGTGATCTAAAAGCTTTTATAACTTCTGCACCAAATGTATACCGACACAGAAAGTTAGCTGCTGAAAAAGCAATCTACCGTTAAACCAAAGATTAAAAAGAAACCACTCAGACTGCATCCTCCCCCTCTTCCTCTCCCGAGGGAGAGAAGAACGATCATCAATGGCAAATAGCAGTTGCAAGAAGCAACACTAAGAGCCGGCTTCACGCTCAGGGGAGGACACTGCGTCTCCTCCTCGTGGTTTCGGGTGCTCTACACAGTCAGAGAAACTTCTCTAGTAACGAACTATAGAAATGATCCCTGAAAGTATAGTCTTAGCATCTGCCCCGCAACCGCTGCCGAGTCACAGCCCACGGCTCATTTCTAACTAATGGTGACAAGTGTCGTTACATTCACGTCCCCAACGCCGCTAACATTCTCTCCAAAGAAATAACACGCGCAGAAATGTTCACAGTGGTGTTTGCGTGTTACTTTGGAAAAAAAATCCTAAATATTATGAATTGTAAAGTAACTCCGATCTAACTTAATTAACATATCACCGATACCAGCCAGTCAGACGCTAGTGGCTCCAGGCGCCCAAACAAAACCACTTCCGGTCCAGTTTAAAGAGAAAGGGTGCGTGCGGCTTCTCGGGTTTTGTGTTTTGTTGTTCGAGACTGGTGTGGTGTGGTTCGGTGGCTTTTGCTGTGTCGCAGCGTGGGCTCATCACGCACACACCTGAGGCCGTGGAGCCAGCCTGGCCCTGAGTCTGCACTAATCGTCCTGCTTTATCCCCCTTAGTTGCTAAGGGTAACAGGTGCAGGCGAGCTTTGCAGGTAGCTGGAATTGCTTCCCCAGGCTTTGATTCGGAACGCCAGCCAGGTCGGAGGTGAAGGCAGATGGTCGCGCGCATCTCCAGCTACTTAACTGGGTTCAGGGCAGCCACGGTCTCCAAGGCGGGGTCGGGGGAGAGAAACCTAAATTCCCCCAAGCCCGGAAGCTCGGAGCGTGCCGCGCCTTCCCGTGGTCCTGCGCCGCAAGCCCGGCGCCGCCATCTTGCTTCCTGGCGAGGCGCGTGTGCGCCGCTGCCCGCAGAAGCCGGATGCGGGGCGCCGCTGCCCGCACCCAAGATGGCGCCCGCGGGTGGGCGTGGCCAGGGTGGCTTCCCCGAGCGTGCGGGCTATGGCGTCTGCTGCGGATCCCCGGTGGGAGGCCGAGGACGAGGACGGGGAGACGGAGGAGGAGGAGGCTGTAAGCGTGGGTGCAGGCAGGCCTGCCGCCCCGGGTGGGGAGGGGTCCGGGGCGCGGACGGCAGGGCGGAGGCCCGGCAGCCCTGTGGCTTTGCGACGCCGGGCGCGAGGACCCAGGGTGGCGTCTGCCCATTCTAGACGGAGCAGCCATGGTGTGGGCGGCCTGCGGGAGAGCTGCTGCACCAGGGCCCGACCCAGGGCCCGCGGCGGCGGCGGCGGCGGCGGCGTTACGGTGGCGTTTGCGGCGCTTCTGCCCCGTGCTCACTGGCCGTGCACCATGCTAACTTCTCTCTCTTTCTTTCTCCCGCCAGGAGCAGTTCGTTCTGGTAGAGTTGTCAGGAATTATTGACTCAGACTTCCTCTCCAAATGTGAGAATAAATGCAAGATTTTGGTGAGTCTGAGAATTTGCGGAGTGTTGTAGATTTTTTTTTTTTTTTTTTTTTTTTGTCCCCCTCTCTGGTCTCTTTTCTGTTTTCTCTCCCGTCTTTCAAGACAGGGTTTCTCTGTGTAGCCCAGGCTCTCCTGGAACTTGCTCTGTGGACCAGGCTGGCCTTGAACTAAGAAGTCGGCTTGCCTCTGCCTCCTGAGTGCTGGGATTAAAGGTGAACACCACCATTGCCGGGTTTTTCTTAAAACAAGAATGATGTGGTGCGCTTGTCCACAAAGATGAATCTGTTCATTCCGCCTTACAGAGCTTACGGATCATTCCAGAAGAATTAAGTAATGGGTGATCCTATAGGAGTAGAGAAAATGCCTGCTTCATTGCCTGAATGTGTGCTGGGGAGAAAGTAAAGAGCAAAATATAACATTTTGAATGGAACTTTTCAGGAGAGTTTTAGGACAGAAGCCTCATCAGCTGCTATACCTAATCGGATCGGAGCTGGCTTTCTAGTAGGCCTAGTCTCAGTCCTATCTAGTGGCCACAGTCAAGACTACTAGTCTGGACCCAGAGTCTGGCCTAAGTGTTGACATGCAGACAGCTTGCCAGGCATTACATGCTACACTCAGGGTCTGCTCATCACTATAGGCAGTGTCTTTGGTGTGTGTTCATTGCTCACACCTGTACCTCACACATCCCTCTACCAGCTTGAGCTGCCTAAAGCTGGGTAGTGGTAGCTCATGACTTTAACCCCAGCACTTAGGGGATAGAGGCAGCTAGAGCTCTATGATGAGTTTAAGGCCAGCCTGGTCTACAGAGTGAGTTCCACGAGAGAACTTGGGCTACACAGAGAAAACCTATCTTGAAAAAACCCACAAAACAAAGAAACAAACAAACAAAAAATCCAACCAATCGACCAAACAATAACAAAAAAGAAGACACAGATTAAGAGAAAAAGTTATTGTTATCAGAGTTTTAGGGCAAAATCCCTGGCTCCAAAAATTACAACTGGCTAGTTTCTGCCACCCATCCCAACATGACAGTAAGAGATGAGTTAATGTGGTCTACATAGCAAGTTCCAGGACAGGCCTACATAGAACCTGTTTTAAAACAAACACAACAACAACAAAAAACCCATCCAGGCATGTTGGTACACACCCTTAACCCACCTTTCACTCTAGAGAGAGTTCAGCTCTAAAGAGTGTTTACTCCTCTTCCAGAAGTCCCGGGTTCAGTTCCCAGCACCTCCATCAGGTGACTCACAACCACCTGTAATCGAATCCCAGGGCGTCCACCACCCTGGCCTCCGCAGGTCTATACATACACTCATTCGGGCACACACACACATAGTCCAAATAAGCCTTCAAAAAAGGGGAGGAAAACCAGATGTGGCACGTGCCTTTAGTGCCAGCACGTGAGAGGCAGAGGCAGGTGGACAGAGAAACCTTAAAAAAGAAAGTGTAATAATGGAGCACACAATAGGTTTCATGATGATCTTAAGCGTGCACATAATAAACTTGATCATATTCACCCTTCTCCCCTCTGCTTTCCTTTTCCCCAGTAGTTCTGGGCTTGTGTAATCCAGAATCCTCCATTCATAGCTAAGGCTGTCCTTGAACTCATGATTCTCCCCTCTGCTTTCCTTTTCCCCAGTAGTTCCGGGCTTGTGTAACCCAGAATCGCCTGCATTCATAGCTAAGGCTGTCCTTGAACTCAGGACTCTCCCACTTGTACCTCTTGAGTGCTGGGATTACAGCAGTGTGCCACCATACTGGGTCCTGCTCTCCCTCCCTCCTCTCTCCCTCCTCTCTCTCTGTCTCTCTCTCAGATTGTATTTATTGTACATACAGTGTTTTACCTGCATGTGTGCCTGCAGGCCAGAAGAGGGCACCAGACCTCATTACAGATGGCTGTGAACCACCATGTGGTTGCTGGGAATTGAACTCATGACCTCTGGAAGAGCAGCCAGTGCTCTCCATCTCCCCAGCCCCCTACCCCTGTCTTCTACATAACTAGACTGGTATCAAGCTCACAGATGGTCTGCCTTGTTGCTTTCCAGATGCTGCGATTAAAGACGTGCCCTACTTACTACACTTGGTCCAGGCTGTCCTGGAACTCAATCTGTAGACCAGACTGGCCTCGAACTCACAGAGATCCGCCTGCCTCTGCCTTCGAGTGCTGGGATTAAAGGTGTGCGCCACCACCGTTGGGCTCCAAGGGCGTTTTCTGACGATAGTATTTTATGTCCTTTAACCTGTTGTAGGGAATTGACACCGAGAAGCCCATCCTGCAAGTAGACAGCTACGTGTTTGCTGGGGAATATGAAGGTAGGAGAGTATCAGACAACAAGCTGCTTTTTCGTGTGGCTTCAGAGTATTTCTGCTTTCTTAATTGGCCTTCACATTTCCCTGCAGACACTCTTGGGACCTGTGTTATATTTGAGGAAGCTGTTGAACGTGGTAAGTGTTGCTATGCTAGACCAACTTTTTGTACAGATTATTTCAAACTTACTGTGTTGGTTTTTTTTGTTTTGTTTGTTTGTTTGCTTTATTGTTGCTTAATATCAGATGAGCTGTAGCTCAGGTTGGCTTTGAACTCACAATTCTCATGCCTCTTTAGTGCTGGGATTATAGCCTCTGTTCACCACTAAGCCTACCTTCAGATACACAATGTATAGTTTTTTAGATTAAAGCATGTGGGGAACCTTGGCGGGTTGCATGGTGGGCGAGGCTGACCGAGGCAGAGGGACAAACACGCCGGGCAGACAGAGTTTAAGTGAAAGTTCTATTAGGAAGGGGAGGGAGGAGAACAGAGACAGAGAGACGAGACGGGAGAAGTCCTGTCTTCCCCAAGGGAAATGGGAAAGACAGCGTAAGTGGGCGGGGTCTTCTTTTAAAGGGTCCTTTGCACCTGCGTGCAGACTATGCAACCATGGACCCCTGGGCTGACCAGGGTACTGCCTGAGTGCGTTCTGCCAGATGACAGAGGCAGGCCAGCATAATGCCTGAGTCCATATAATAGGGGGCTGGAGATGACAGCAGATAAAACCATGTACTATTCCTGTAGAGAACCTGAGTTCAGCTCCCAGTACCCATGTTGGGTGGCTCACAAGTGCCTGTAATACCAGTTCTCGGGGTTGGCCTTGGAGGGCACATTCCCACGTAGAGACAGATACATAAAAAAAATTCTTTTAAAGAGACATATGTGTAATAAATATTAAAATTGAGTATCTCAGGCGTTGGGGATTGAACTATAGCTTTGCATATGCTAAGGAGCCATGGCTGACCTCAGACTTGTGATGTTCCTGTCTCAGCATTCTGAGGGCATTGCTATACAACCGTGACTATCTTAATGTTCATAACTGCACTGAATACATCCCTATAAAACTGCCACCATATGTTTTTAATGTGCGTCTTTGTGTGTATAGGTAAAGATGTCTCCAAACTTCATATCTAGAAGTAGATTGATGAGCTAGGGAAAGAAATAGATTTAGTGAGAGACTGGGGTTGTAGCTCTCCTCAGGAACATTCACCTACCATGTGTGAGGCCTTAGCCACATTTATCCATTCCTGAAAAATAAACATAAAAGGAGAGGTGGAGGAGAATAAAAATGGAATGGAATGTGTGCTATCTTCAACTAAAAGGTCAGCTTGAACCATGTGAAAGTCTAAGTTTGAATATTAGCAATAGTTGGGCTTCATATGGTT